GACGCAGCGTGGAACGTGACGGTGCAGTGGTATGGAGGGGACGTGTCCTGCAAACTCCTCAACTTCCTCAAGCTCTTTGCCATGTACGCGGCCGCCCTGGTGCTGGTGGTCATCAGCCTGGACCGGCACGCAGCCGTCCTCCACCCCTTCTCCCGCGCTCGCCGCCGCAATGGACTGCTGCTCCGTGCTGCCTGGGCCGGCAGCGTGCTCCTGGCTTCACCCCAGGTAGGGCTCGGTGCCCTTCCCGTCTGGTTTGCCCTGGCTGGGGTGGTTTTGGAGAAGGGCTTCCCCATCCTGGCAGCCCCAAAAAGTCCATCCCAATCCACGGGCTCCACCACCACCAGCTTGGCTTTGTTGCGCGAAGTAGCGTGGTTGCTGCGGTGGGTGCTCAGCACCGATTTGCACCTTCCTTGTAGCACCCATTCATTGCAACACCATCAGGGTGTTACACTAAGGGCTGGGAAAAAATTGTGTCCGCTAGTTTTTATTCCTCATGCACATGGTTATCTTCTCCTAAAAATGCATCACTGCACCACTGTAAAACATGCTGGAGCAGACCAAGACAAACCTGAGCAGTTCCTGAGCAAAATAACATTTGGCATGGCCAGAAAATGGGATTTCACAGCCATCAGACCCTATCCATCCTGGCCGTAGCCATGAGTTGGGTGCCCAGAGTGCCTCTCCCAGTCCAACAGCGTCAGGGACGTGCTCTCCAGGCACAGCCAGGAGCCTCTGCAGGACGTGGTGCCCTGTTCCAAAGCCTCTCTGAGTTATTATTTGCTTCGCCATTTCAGCTTTTCCTCTTTCACCTGCACACGGCCCCGGGAGGGAACTTCACCCAGTGCGTTACTCACGGGAGCTTCCGAGCGCACTGGGAGGAAACCGTCTACAACATGTTCACCTTCACCACCCTCTACATCACCCCTCTGAGCGTCATGATCGTTTGCTACATCCGAATCATTTGGGAGATCAGTAAGCAGTTGAAGATCAACAAAGGTAAGCAGGTCCCAGCCCTTTAGTGTCCACCATGACTCTATGAACCTGCTCCAGCCTGGAGCGTTGTTGGGTCTGTCCCAACACCCTTTGAAGGGTAACGCAGCTAAGGGGTTTTACACAAACTTCTTGACCTCTCTCCTTGCTGTCTTCTGCTTCCTGCGGGCCATGGACCAGACCATGAGATGGTCTCCCCTCTCTGGCAGAAGCACAGTCATAAATGGTTATGTTCTGGTTTTCTCCCATCTCCAGCTATCTTTTTGACTCTCCCTGGCAGGTTTGATAGGAAATCAAAATGACCACATCTCCAAGGCACGCATGAAGACTCTCAAGATGACCATAGTGATTGTTGCCACCTTCATCATCTGCTGGACCCCATACTACCTCCTGGGCTTGTGGTACTGGTTCCAGCCAGCCATGATCCAGAAGATGCCGGAGTATATCAACCACAGCTTCTTTCTCTTTGGCTTGCTGCACACCTGCACTGACCCTGTCATTTATGGACTGTATACCCCCTCCTTTCGCGAGGACGTGCAGTTGTGTCTCAGGGGCATTGAAACAGCCATTACCAGGCATGAGAGACACAAACCTGTCTCAGTCTTGGAGAACAACATCAAGGATGGTGCTGTAAATGGTGGGGTGGCATCAGGGGGCTCAAATGGGACAACTGTCAACACGGTCTGCTGAAGAGACATACCCACAAGGAGATGGGAGCCACAGCTCTCGGGGCTGCTTTTTCCCATAGGATCGTTCTGGAGACTGTCATAAGGAGGTTTGCCACACAGCTTTGGTGGGTGAGGGTCTCTGGCCAGGAACTGGGATTGTGTCTCCTGCCTGTACTCAGGGTAAAAAACATTTGGAGGTATTTATGGTCATTCTTCCATATCCTGGCAGCCCCGTGACAAGTAGAAACCCATCCTTTTTGTACCTTACACATGCTCTAGCCTTGATTCTGGGATCAAGCATCTGCCACACTTCCAGCATCGACCCCTGGGAGGAGACACGCTGGCTCCTCCATGGTCCAGGGCCACATCTCCCAGGGCGGCCAATCTACAAGTGTCCTTTGCACCTACACCAAAGTGTGGAGCTGCACAGATGCACAGCGCTATGTGGTGTCACCCTGAGAGGCTGCAAAGGTGCGATCACAGGTTTTACTCCATTTTCTCCATCCGCTGTAGGAAAGACTCTCTGGAAATCTTGGCTCTGCTGGCTCAGAGCCTACCTGGCTCTCCCATGGCTGCATGTGAAGCCCTGGGAAGGATCTACATCTCTGGGGAGTGGGCATTAGTCCCCCATGTCTGCCTCTGTGGTGGGAAGGGAGAAGGTGATGTGGGGATGGAGGGGCTTGGGCAAGAGGGGTATGAAGAGACATGATGGGATGGGATGGGACAGGGTTTCTTCTCCCTTTTGGACACAGTCAGAAGGGAAAACAGTCCCTGCTGCTTTGTTCTGGCATGTAGGGGGTGGTAGGAACACATCTTTACATAGCAGCTCTCTAGGACAGAGGGTTGACCAGGAGAGAGAGAATTTGGGGTAACCAGAAGGTGACATAGCCCAACCCCTCTCCAGGGCATGAGCTGGCAGGTCTCAGACCACAGGCCAGGGTGTCCCCAGCACCTGGCACAGACTGATGGGAGCAAACCCCACATTTTCTCCTCTCTGTGTTCTCCTCTCTCATTTCTACACGTTTTCTTTACCTTAATGGCTTGACCCAACACCAGCACCTCATCTCTGCCCCGAGCAGGGTGGGTGCAGCCACCCCACAGGTGATGCCTGGGGTGTCCCAATGAGGAAGGTGATGGGAAACCACCTGTGGGTGGAGGGGCCTATCAGCACCCATGGGTGCCAGGTGGGTGCTGATGGTCCTTGGCTGCACTGTGAGGGCAAGGGAGGCTGCTGGAGGGGATCATCTGAGCTGTGGTGAGTAAAATGGATTTTCTGCTTTTCACCACCGTGCCAGATGTTGCTTGTGAAGGTGGATGCCTCTTCTCTGGGTGTGGATTGAAGAGGTGGCTTTATCCAACTGTGTTGTTCCCTTCCGTGTAACTAGAAATAGTAGATTATCTCTTTGTTCATTCTCTGCTGGTTGTTATTAAACGCATTTTTTGCTTTTGAAGAGAAATATAGTCTTGAGCCAGGTGAGGGGTTTTTTGTTTTTGTGAAATCTTTGGGCAGCTCAGGAGCTCTGGACTTGGCAGGAGGCAGCTCCCTGGGCATTTCTGTGGTGACTGCAGTTCTGAAGGAGCATCTGGACTTTATCAGGATGAAAGAGCTTTGTTTTAAAAACAATTCTTGACTTGCTGTGGTTGCGTGCGTAGGGAAGCTGGGAGATGTCTCCTCCCCCCCCCAAGAAAGCAAATCTCCTTTGGGCACAGAGGGGGCTTTCTCGACCCTGTCTTCAAGAGGAGAAAAAGGATCTGGACTGCCCTCCCAGTGCCCCAGCTAATAAATTATTAAAATTGCAGAGGTGGCAACCGATGCTTGCAAGTTGACTGAGGCTGGGCAGTGAGGATACGGTGCTCGGGGTGATGCCAAGCTGTGGATGGGTGTCGAACACTTGCCTTTCCCCACGCTAAGTATCATTTATGCTAAACATGCTGCCCAAGGAGGAAAAAAAAAAATCAATTAGAGCTGCAGGAGCGCAGACCGGCTGGTGGGGATTAGCGTGAGCCCTTTAGGCAGCGTCCAAACTCCAATGAGATGCGTAATTGCCGTTTGGCTTTCCTGGGCTCGTTCTGCTTGAGGTTAATTACGCAACACTAACGGGAGCGGGGCTTGCTGCTGCCAGGCTGGCTCGGCTCAACCAGTGCAAAAAAGAGTTTCTTGTAAGGTGATGGGAATAACTTGTGGAGGGGAAGCTAATTTATTCATCAGACACTCATTTGGTCTCTCTGTTTATATTACTGGTGATCGCTAATGGCAGGCAGACCTTGAAGGTGTGTTGGTTTTCTGGCAAGCCAGGCCTCAAATAAGCAGGAAAGAGTCTTTCATCTCCTGAAACCATTCTTCATCTGCTTTCTGTTGAGTGGGAGAGAACAGGTCCAGTGTTGCTTGCGCACTTAAGGCCACTTGTCCCCATTTGCACAGCAGCAGGAGAGCTCGAAGACCTTCTCTGAGGAGCAAGAAGCACTTTTTCCCTTGTGGGAGAGACCCACCACGGTTACACCCCATGGGTACGATGAGAGGGCAGAAGCAGGTTTGGCTTTAGGTAAGGAGTAGGAAAAATCGGGGTGCTGGCAAGGATACGTACCCTGGTCCTTGGGGGAAGCACGGCACATCCCTCGGGATGCTTGCAGGCACCCCGGCGCTGCTCCTCCTGCCTGCCCCTGGATACCTTCCCTCCCGTTGCTGGTGCTCAAGGCTGACATTTTGGGAAGCCCAGAGTGTGGGCAAGGTGCCCAAAGTGACAGCTTTCATGATAGAAGGAAAATGTCACGAGAAGAGGATGCTGCCAAGCCCAACGTACGCAGAAAAGGGGAGCGGGCAGGCGGGCAGCACCTCTCCGGGGAGCTGGGGCAGGTGTTCTCCAGGTCACCGAGGATCATCCAGAGATGGACCGAAGCTCGGGCCTGGTTTGAATGTCCCCGTGTTTCTAATTCTGCGTTTCTTAAATCCGTTTGTACTTTAGAGAGCAAAAGATTTTTCACATCTCTCATCAGGAGTGTGAAACCCGGAGTCTCGCCCCGGGGGGTGGTCCTGCTT